GGGCAACAATGTGTTGACTTGCAAACTAGTCATTACATTGGAGATCCTAACTTGCATAGAATAGTATGGACACGCTTGGATAAAACCGTGCCAAAACTGAAAAATAAACATAAGAAAAGAAGACATGGAAGAGTTTGGAGCAGAGTAACAAGAATTGCATTGCATATACCATAGAATTGTGTGGAGTTACAATAATTAGAAACACAATAAGGATACTTAGAAGAATAAAGGAAGGAGCCTGTGGATAAGGAAAAAACATACATATTAGAGAGCAGTTCCTACAAAAACTGAGGAATCAGAGAAATCTCCTATATATGTGTATAGAAAGAAAAGATAGCTGTAAATAATATAGTCAAAGAAAGCAAAGAATAGTTAAGACTAATAAATAAGTAAAACAAAAGGGCAGAGAAAACTCAGAGTGAATTTGATGCATAAAAAAGGTTTCAGATGGGTGTGGAGAGGACCTCCAGCAAAATGAATGGAATGAAAAATAAAAGCAAATATTTAATAAAACTGAATTAAAGGAATNGGAGCTCAGGAGCCCATTTTCACTGGCAGAAGGCTCGGGCCACCACAGGCACCCCCGGCATGGGTGATGGCGAGCTGGCCACGCCCACCCTGGCTCCCTGAGGTCAAAACAAAACCCCGATGCAGCCCTCAATGAAACCCTGTCCTAGAGGCTTCAAACACAAGTAGCTTTTAATGAAGACAGGAGAGAAACGTTTGCACAAGACCGAGTTGCTGTGGGTTACTGCAGGTATCAATGAAACATTTGCTTCTGGGTTTAGAAACAGGAGCCGAGATAGACTCCCCCTGTCAGGTAGCTTGGAATTGCCCAGAGTTCAAGAGAGGACAGGTAACAGGTGTAAAATGCTCTTAAAGATGAAAAATGGTAAGAAGGTCTGTCAACAGAACTAACATATCCACAGCCTTCTAAAGCAGTGCTTCTCAACCTTGGTGACTTTTAAGTCTTGTGGACTTCAATTCCCAGAATTCCCCAGCCAGATATGCCAAGGTTGAGAAACACTGTTCTAAAGGAAAATGTCCTTCAGTATGTAGTTTTCCACTTAGTTCTTACAAGTAATCCTCGCCTTACATGAGTTCATTTAGTGACCATTCAAAATAAGCGACTTATGACCATTTCCCCTACTTACAACCGCTGCAGTGTCCCTTGGGGTGTTTTGTCACATGATCAAAATTCAGATGTTTGGCAACGGACTCATGTTTATGACGGTTGCAATGTCCTGGGGTCATGTGATCGTCTTTTGCGACTTTCTGACAAGCAAAGTCAATGGGGAAGTCAGATTCCCTTAACAACCATATTCTGCAGTGATTCGCTTAATCGACTGTGGCAAGAAAGGTCATCAATGGGGCAAAATTCATTTGACAACTGTATCATTTAGCAACAAGACATTTTGAGCGCAGATGTGATCGTAAGTCGAGGGCTACCTGTAATGTATTCCTTTGTTTAAAATAAATATATATATATATTTATATTTATATATTTAGTGTCACAACCCCTGGTAAGCCCCAATTATGGGAGGAAGCTAACTGCTTCCATCATCTGTCAATCGGTTCGTCACAAGAGTCCATCACGACAGAAAACCAATATTTTTTTACTGTTGCCTTTGTTAAGCACAAATAAAACACATTTATATTTATATTTATATATTTAGTGTCACAACCCCTGGTAAGCCCCAATTATGGGAGGAAGCTAACTGCTTCCATCATCTGTCAATCGGTTCGTCACAAGAGTCCATCACGACAGAAAACCAATATTTTTTTACTGTTGCCTTTGTTAAGCACAAATAAAACACATTTATATTTATATTTATATATATTTGTTATATTTATTTGTTATATTTATTTG